TCTTAAGATGTGGATACATCAACAGGGTGGGGATAATAATATACATTCACGAAAGACATTTTTTAGCATACCTTTGCTCCCCTCCCCATCAAACTTGAGACAAAGCCTGTAATTCTCGAGCATCGACCGTGATGATTATCAAGTGTTGCAGCGTTAATAAACCGATGATAGTAGTGGCGGAGTGTCTTTTGTGAATGATGTTTATTGTCCTCGGCAAGTTAGTGTATCCACATCTCAAGAGTGGAGTTTACTTTAAGTGAACGTAGGGAACGATAAACATTCACGTTTAATGGTATCACTTTGATTAATGTCATGGATTATGAACGCAAAACTATATACCGTTTGTGTTACATTTGACAGTTTTACTCACAAGAGTATCGCATGTTTTATGAAAACACTGAAACTGTAAGAGATGTGTCACATTGTTTCACGATACGGGCACATCGTTTAAACCTTCTCCAATCAATATGTGGTGGGACATTTGATACCATTACGATTGCAACGATCTTGGCATTCCGCTTGAGTGGTGTTCAAGTTTCACTGAACCACTTGGTTCACGGTGTCTGCATTTTCCTCCCTTACAGAATGTCAATCAACCCCGTCTCCAAGGCGAACCTCCTGTCTATCGACGGGCCCAGCCCACACCTAGACGCGACCCACTTGCGGTTGTCTGGTGCATTCGTTCACGGACTTCTTGCTGCACAAACGAGATAAGCATCGCAGATGACGAACAACTGCGTTGATTGAGTTTTTTGTTTAGGAACACAACCAGACCATCAACAAAACTGGCGGACTACTGAAGTCCAGAGTCAACCGAAATTCATTTGAGTTCCCGGGTTCGATCCCCAGTTGAGTCAATGGGTTCGTACGGAGGATGAGACCTAATCAGGTCGGAATAGTGGTAGTGCTTCATAGCTTTTCGATTCCCTCTTCATATGTTTTGCACACGACTAAATTCACTGTGTACATGTATAATTGATTGATTGGAAGTGACCATCCTTCCGACTTCACCTTCACACACAATTCTCAGCATTTCTAGTCAACCACGCACTCGGAGGTACTAAACTCAAGTTTCGCTCTTATTAGAGCTCATCAGTAGTGCACATCCACCGAGCCGTCCAAGTTTTGAACTCCGGACCCATCGCGTGGAAGGCGTGTTACCATGTTACCACTGTACCAACCAGCTCATACCAAAGCTGAGGCGAATTGCCAATTCAGTTTTCATCTGCTGTGATAGTCAGTCATTGTTTTTGACCCGACAGCTACAAAAGGAGACACAGTTGACTACATGTTTACTCCAATCGAAAGCCTCCCGCCAAATCAGGACTTCCATGCAGGTTACGAGTTGACTTGCCACCGACATACTAGGCACATTACTACTCACAAGTAACTGTGATCTAAATGCAAAATATATGGATTCTGTTGTCTTATGCCAAGACGTAAAAACGATACGTGCGCCTCTTTGTCTAGGCCCAAACAACTGGAGAAAGAACACTGTTGAGAGACAACAGTCAGAGTGTACTCTTGACCATGAAACAACAAGGAAATGTCTGATAAATAAGGTGTACGCGAAAAGATCGCGACCTTCGCACTCAGGTTGATCGATCGGACGACGTCTATTTGATTCACCCTAGTCAACCAATCAGGAGTCAATTCGGCTTGGGCGTCACGAACGCACTTGTGGGGTGACGCGAGTCGCTGCGCGGCAGGACGGATTCCGCGCGCTCCGTCCTGACAGATTCCATCGACAAACTGGGCGCCTCATTCATCATTGGAAACAGGACGGACTTTGCACAAACTTGCTAGTCATATAACAAGCAGTGAACATCCAACTAATTTACTGGGATTCAAACCACAGTATGAAAGAGTTGTTCCTCCCACTCCACCCTTTCTAGAACGCTAAGTACTAGGATTACCTCTTACAAATGGTTGCATACCACTGCCTTCAAAGACGCGCATTGTGCGCGATCTATCTTTAGCTTTTACCTTGAAGCGTCACCAGAGTGAGTAAATAAAATTTTACAGTAGCACATACTTGAGAGCAGCTCATATTGCAAGCACATTTTCTGAGAACACTAGCCAGATCGATTTCAATTAGGTTGACAATCCAGGGCAGCTTCGAATTGTACAGAGTCGGCCCTGATAACAACTTACAAAATACAATACAGCCTCACTTTGGACAGTTAGACTGTTTACTCTGTGTGTTGACAATAGAGGCTCGCTTTCTTTTCCCGTCCCTGAAAACAGACCCAATCCCGTATCATCATATTTACACATTCCCACTTACTTTGTGTGCATTACGAGTTTGGACGTAATCAGTGAAGTTCACTTCACTGTATTATGCTGTACACTGATGATGATTGCAACTACAAGTACAACTTCCCTGTGCCAGTTTTGTCTTTGTTGGTTGCCATTTCGGTCTCACAATAAAACCGAACGCTCTTGATAGCACCGTTCAGATAAATTTGCGGAAGTAAGCAAATGGAATTTGATATGCAATTCAGTTCAACGTATGAGCATCTCTTTTCATATCTCTCGAGCTGGAATTGCCTAAATGTAAAGGCTTAACGAGAGTAAACTGACCTAAAACCCACGGTTGCGGGTCTACAATCTGTCATGTTAGATTGTAATTTTTTTCCTACCTGACATTCTTCAAACAACTGACTGTCTAACAGCAAACAGCGTACACTCAGAGGCGTTCAATGTGGTGAACAGTTGCGAGGGCGGAAATTTTATTCAGATCACCCATAAAATGAAACATGTATCGTATTACTATTGTTTGAATAGTGCTTACACATGACAAAATTCGAAACGGTCCATTTTCAGATGGACGATAGTGGCACACATATAAATCGCAAATATCGACCCTCTATGCCTATCTACGTAGCTTGGCACCAGTTTCAGTTTGAACAACCATGAAACATGCACTTTTGTGTACCGGTTTTGGTTGCCCATTTGGATTAACACTAGACGAAAGACAGGAAGTTCGAAAGCAGAATCGAGCAGAAAATTGAGAATATCAGTGAACTAAGATTGCAAAGAAATTTAAAAGATGCCCGAATGCAACTGCTTACGACGCCCGGCCATATCACTCAGTGTTTCGAACCACGGATTATGATTATCCCGAGGTCCTCATCCAGGAAGCCGAAAAGAGGTTTTCATATCCCCCCCCCGTGCCAGGCCCGGCGTGGCAACCTATTTAGTGACACGCATAATACATGTCCCAATCAACGTAATCTCTGGATATCGACCACTTGCTATACACCCTTTCCCATCGAGCTTTAACCAAAACCCGAAATGCTTTAGCTAAAACCCGTAATGCTTTACCCAAAACCCGTAGTCCTTTAGCCCCAACGCACAAAATTTAACCACGACGCAGTAGGCGAGTCAGATCAAGAAGTATCGGAATATTCTGAAGTCAACGAATGTTTAAAAAAATTATTTTCTATAAATGTTGATGCTGCAAAGCTTGGTTGAGAAATAAGGTATGAGGAATGCATGCTACGACACATGTGGATTGGAGAAGGTTTAAACGATATGCCCGTATCGTCAAATAATTTGACACATCTCGTACAGATTCAGTGTTTCTGTATAACCCGTGATACTCCTAGTGTTATAATTCCAGAAGGCGGTGCTGGTCGAGGATAGTTATTTATTGCCGATAACGTTCGAGATATGGTTAAATTGTCATTCCTACACAAAAATATCTCATTTGGAACAAGGTTGCAAAATTTCCACACGCACACAGTTGATGGAACGATTTACCATTAGATGCGCATTCTTGTATTCACCATACCGAACATCAGCAGTTTGCTCCAACAGATCTTGTTGATTTTTGGTCGTTGAATAAAACCGCTAATCGCATCTTTTTGCGTACTACTCACATGTGAGTAGTATCTCACAACACTAGGAGTAAAAATCAAAAGTGTAACTCAAACAATACATTATTTTGCATACGTACTGAGAATAATAAAGCGTTCGTAAAAGTACACCCTCATGTCATCAGTTTATCAACGGTGCAACGTATGTCATAATTACCACAGTCGAGGCTTAATTATTACTGTTTTTTTTTCTACAGCTTCTTGGGAAGCGGTTCTAATGGGGTCTTTTGTGAACAGTGTTTATTATCCTCGACCTTTTGATGTATCCAACTGTCAAGAACAGAGTTCACTTTAAGTGGATATACCAAGCGGTAACCATATAGCTTTTCATTTATTTCAGGGCTTGTGAATGCAAAACAATATATTGTTTGAGTTGCACTTGAGATTTTTACCCCTAGGAGTATCACGGGTTATACAGAAACACTGAATCTGTACGAGATGTGTCAAATTATTTGACGATACGGGCATATCGTTTAAACCTTCTCCAATCCACATGTGTCGTAGCATGCATTCCTCATACCTTATTTCTCAACCAAGCTTTGCAGCATCAACATTTATAGAAAATAATTTTTTTAAACATTCGTTGACTTCAGAATATTCCGATACTTCTTGATCTGACTCGCCTACTGCGTCGTGGTTAAATTTTGTGCGTTGGGGCTAAAGGACTACGGGTTTTGGGTAAAGCATTACGGGTTTTAGCTAAAGCATTTCGGGTTTTGGTTAAAGCTTGATGGGAAAAGGTGTAGTGGGCGACCACAATTACCTAAAATTCTGTGCCTAACCTTAGCTGGACAGCAGCAATCAATCACACAAATTTCTCCGCCACTGAAAACCAAAAACAGACCACCGTTAACTGGACATAGTACATTTAACTGCATCTGGTACTCACCAGGAAAACGGCATGCAGAGTAGGATGGTTGGAGGAGGCGGGCGGGAAGGGTGATTGTAAGGAAAAGGATGAAAAGCCAGTATTTCGGAATGGAAAAAAATAGAAACCAAAACATGTTCAATATGTACAGTGCAGGAACAGAGAACGCGGATGAACACATCGCAAGTAAGATTACTTCGCTCTTTGTAGCTGTCGCAACCGATAGAGATCCAGTGGAGCAGCCAGGGTGCCACGAAGTAGATCGGAACCCACAGCCGCAGTGGAGCCGGCACCGGCAACACCCATAAGAGCGGCAGCTCGTTCCTCTTCGTCGTCGTCGTCGTCCTCTTCATCGTCTTCCTCATCCGCCTCATCCTCGGAGTCCCCGAAAGCGTTCAGGCAGGGTCGTTTCTTAGCACGGATTTGATTGGTGCCCGTACGTGATGCACGAGTACTGCCAGCAACTGCGACAGCAGGATCCAGGCTCAACTGTTGGCGGCGTTTTCGAGCGGCCAGTAGCATGGGTGCAGTGGATCCGGCCGTGCTGGCCAGTTCAATGGACAACGCTGTGCCTGGGTCTATACTGTTAGCCAGTTCCTCGGATTCCGCATTCACAATATCCATGTAATCTACATGCATAAGGCAAGTTTAATCACGAAAAATGAACACATTTTGTTCGCTGTATTAGAATGTCGAATTCAGCAAAAAAAGAATTTACCCCATTTGGATGGAGTGTATTACTTTATCTGAAACAATATTGATAAGAATGTTAAAAAGCTAATAAAATATTACAATAGTGGAGACATTCGACTTCTATCCAAAACGCAGATTGGGGATCACAGGCGTTTACAGTAAAGTCCTAGAATCAATCATGTGTCAAATTAGGAATGCGGGACCCAGGAAAATAGGTGTAAGTGAAGTCATTAACTAATCCGATAGCACACTGATTCACGATCAGCAACACCGTCTTGATCAATGAGCTGAACACTTCAAGGATCAGTTTAACTGGCTCCCATCGACCTCTGACCTATCAGCCCCCTCCTCGATTTGGCAAATAATCCCAGCCGATACCAGTCCTCCATCTGAAATAGAGGTTTCCCGGGAAATGAGTTATCTCAAAAGGCATAAGGCCTCCGGCCCATACAGACTTTCGCCATCGGTGTTTAAGGATAGAGGTTTAACGTTAGTCTTGGAGTTGATGAAACTCCTGGGCTCAATGTGGGAAACGGAACAGGTTCCAACCGAATGGCGTGTATCTGTCATCATACCGATTTACAAAAAGACGACCGGTTTTCTTGTGAAAGCCACAGAGGAATTAGTTTGGTCAATATTGCCTCCAAACTTCTTGCTGGCATTATCCTCCATCGATTGTCTGCCGCACGTGACCTTTGCACGCGTGAGAATCAGGTTGGTTTTAGACTTAGTCGAGATTGTATCGAGCACATCTTCACTCTTTGCCAAATTCTGCAGCATCAACATTCTTTTCGTAGACCCACTATTTCTATTTTTCTCGATCTGAAAGCGGTTTTCGGAATGATCGTAACCGATGGTTAGAGACACTGAGTGTCCTAAACAGTGGCGTTTGTGTACCTTTTCATTTTCTTTGCGACTTTAGTCCACTGAAACTCTATATTTGAGAGTAAAATTTACTTTCAGCTCAACTGTTTTTCCTCTACTGTTCATCCAAATGGGCGGCCAAAAGACAGCAACTAAAACCGGTGCACGAAAGTGTATGGTTAATGGTTTTTTAAACTGAAAACTGAACTGACACGAAGAACAGAAATGATAGTGGGTTCAACCTCAATATTTAACATGTCGCCTTCAAGGTAAAGCAGTAAATAATAATAACAATGGACATTACAGATGTCCTCCGGCTCAAGGGTAAGAGTTTCGTCTCTCAATTCCAGGGGTTCGTGGTTCGAACGACGGGCAAAAATAGAGACCAAAAGTGCGCACTGCTTTCCCTGGCTCAACCTCAATTACATAAAATCGATGTAAGATAAAACTCAACCTACTTCCAGAACATTCCTTTCACCAATCTAAATTACAAAATATTTTGTAAATAATCGGCGATTATTAAGAATTGAGACGTGGATCAGGGGCACCGGTACCGATAACCATTGGATCAACAACCCAGCAGAATAAACTTTTACTTACCGTCGGGAATTTCCAACTCGAGGAAATGCTCCAAAAATTTGTCCACTTCAACAAATGGTCCATGAAAGCATTCAGGTGGTGGCAACAGTCGCAACAGAGCAGATGCTGTGGGCGGTGGCGGAAATTCCCCACCAGCCACCGGATGGCTACCAGTTCGAGGATACGCTTTTGGTTTGAATGGGAGCATTTGACTGATATCCGGTTGTGGATAGGCTGGTCGTTGTTCACCCGACCCCGAGGCGCCTCCGCCACCCGTTCCATCCGCACTGACCCCACCAGTGCCAATTCCCGAGAGCGCACCAGCCAACGATCCGACCACACCACTAAGCAGTTCATCGTGATTTTTTCCCAATCCAGATAACTGAAAGCGGGCGAGCTCCTGAAACCGAAAAAAACCACCTGATTGCAGCACATGAATGTGAGAGCGATGTATTGAATGTAACCATAGGCACAAGACTGCGATCTGGCCGGAAGGAGATAAGGCCTGTGGAAAGAAGCCCAAGTGAAACCGGAAAAACACAATCCTAAGCTAACTGGCTAGACCTGATAAATCAATCGAAAGGAAAGATATGGTATTGTACCTGAATCCGAGCAAATTCATGCCTGACAACTTTTCAGTATTTATGGAAAAATTGGATTGTTACGTCAAGCGTAGACAAAACGATCTTGGACGAAGGACTGGGTAATAAACCTTTGTGGAACATGCGCTACTCACTTCATGCTAAAAGTGTTAGGGTGAGTGATGTTTGTCAAAAGAGAGAGGCAGTAGCTGGAAGAAGACCAAAGGCGATCAAACCATAACCTAGTGTGAAAGTAACAAAATCGTAACTAAGGTGATGGATCATATCTATCCCGTCAGACAGTATGCTCGAGGACAACAGAATCGGAAAGGGACATGGATGAGTGCTGTTAGTAACCGTCTTCTGAATCTTGATTTAACTACATTCCGTTACTCCGTGAGTAGCTGAAACTAAGACCAGCAAACGGAAGTGCAAAGTCATCATCGTGCAGCATAATACAGGGGAGCGAACTAAAGGGATCGCTGCCAAACTCATAATGCATACAAAGCAAGTGAGAATTTGTAAGGGGGACAGGGGTTGGGCATATTCTGGGGATGGGAGACGGCGAAAGAAAGAAAGCCTCCATGGTCAACACAGAGTACATATTGTTGTTCGGTAGATCTGAAGTTTGTATGTCGATTGTGAAAAGTTTAGTAGCCTCGGTGAGATTCGAACCCACGCATGGATGCCACCTACGCTTTGTACAAATTCACCGGAGTCCACCGAATGAATTATAAGTGAATTCCAAGGAAAACCTGTCTGGGCAGTCAGCTTACATGCTAACTGGTGGATGCCACACGCCTATGTAAGTTGGATGGGTAGTAATTCGAATGTGAAAAGATCAGTTCCGTCGATGTGGCCTCGTAGCTCAGCTGGTAGAGCGTGCGTCGCACAAAAGCGGAGGTGACGTCCATAAATGTGGGTTTGAATCCCATCGAGGTTACTGAGCATTCCACAATCGACATACAGAGTACATGGCCCGACGTTTTCAAGCATTCTGGTCGTTTTCTGCTATGACCTTCAGTGTCTCCAACCATCCAGTTACGGAGCATTTTGGACCCCAACCAGGGAAGAAGATATTGGGAACTGAAAAACAACTTTTTCTGACTGTAGATACCTGGTGCCAATTGAGGAGATCGCCTTGATTTCTGTTTCGCTTATCACACTCGCAACTGTTCCTAAGGGACTCGGCAGCCCTTTGCAATGTTTAATCTAGTTCTACTCCAAAGGAAAATAGAACAAAGAACAATGTTGACCCGCTCGAATACTGGTAAGCACGAAAGCTACTGGAAACACTGAAAAATGTGAAAAACCACAACGAACACTGTAGAAACAAATGGGCGGCGGTAAACTAGGAGTTGTCAAGCCTAGTTCCACGCACGGCCTGGGAGGACACAGAAAACACATTAAGGGCTGAGGTAATTTATTTCTACGTGAACCGTGGTTCTACAAAATAGGTAATCAATTAATAAACGATAAATTGAGGCTTACGACTAGGTCACTTGACGCCAGTGTAGGGACAATTTGAAACGTGGCGGTAAAGAATGGCGTGTAAAATTGTGATACAGTCAAACCAAAACAGAAGTGTACAGTGATAAACACAGAAAAACAGAATAGTAGCTAGCAGTTATTGAGTAAATAACCGTTCTCCTTTGGTATTCTGTCATTTGGCAGTAAATGTTCGGTGTATAATAGTCGATGAATATTGTCATTTATAATCGGACTACTTGAATATCTACAGTAGTCAAATTGCAAATACCGAAACATTTATGGTCTCCTTTGAAGAACCACCAATGCAGCAACAACAATAACAGACGAGAAACATACCCGATAGCCCAAGGAACGCAATTCGGAATCTGAGCAGGGAAGTAAGTCGAGGAACCTATAACGATCGATCAGGAGTGCACTCTCCAATCGAGAAGCCTCTTTCACAGACTCCATAGACTGTAGACGACGTTTTTCAACTTTGAGAATACTGGCCAAATCACCCACCTGTGCGGTGAAAAAAAATAGATAAGCAACTAAACAATTCATCAAACAATACTGGATTCGGAACTGGATAAATGTTAACAACACAAAACGGCTCTGGCAATTGTACTCGTCAAATACGAGCACAAATAGAGAACGGACAAAAATGTACTGGTACCCTCATTTTAAACTGTTTCAAGGTCAATAGTGGGCACAGGAGTTGGAAGACTGTCACAACTGATCATCACGATACCGATCTATTTTGCTACACAAACTATTAGTATATATATGCGTTGGTTATTATGGTTATGTCACGACTGAAAGAATAAGCAAAAAAACCAATGATAAATGAATTGAGCAGCCGACAATTTCAAAGAAAGAGCCCGATGGTGAATGCAGCTCGCAAACAATCCACAGATAGACTGAGTAATTAATTTAGTTGGCAGACAAATTCTCTGTCACCCGGCCTGAGTTCACACCAATT